TGGTGGTCCCCAGCCAGCTCACTCTCCCAGGGACCTGGCATTGCGTTCTTGCTGCAGCAGCACCACCTGGTGGTCGCCTCCAGAACCTGCCAGCCTTTGCTGCCTTTGGGGCTGTAGGGTTGAGAACCTGGAAGGTAGAACTTCCTCCCTACCATTGTGAGGCTTACACTTCCACCTCCACTTCTTCCTGGCGGTGGGATTTGGAGTAAATAACTTAAATGGTCTGAGACACACATTCTCATCTGGGAACTAGGATAACAGTGCTTATGTCTTGGGCAGTTCTAAAGTTTAAATGAGATGCGTGCAAAGGCTAGGCCCAAAAGACAGCAAAGGCTAAGCTCAAAGCACAGCAGGCCTGAGCACCAGGAAGTCCTGGCTGTTGTCGTTATTATTGGGCTCACTTCCCACTGGTGAGCCCTTTCCAGACACTTCTGAGAATGTTCCCACAATTAGCCCCCTTTTCTGGAAGCCTCTGTCCTTCTGTAGCGGGGGGGGGGGGGGGGGGGGGGGGGCTGGAACAGGAGGAAGCTTCACGACCTCCCTCCAATTTGTATCAGGAGATGGGGAGAGAGAGACCTGTGTGCAATAGATGTCATGGGGAAACAAGGGTCCTGGACAGCAGAGCTCACACTAGGGGGATGATCAGCCAAGGTGACCAACGAAGCAAGCAACTCTCTCAGCCTGTCTGGGGTTTTGTGACTTCTGAAGGAGTCCCGAACCTAGAAATAGGGTGGGCTCCCCTTCCATTTCACTTTCTTCTGTCTGAATTCCCCACTGCCAATCATAGTGTGAAAATATTAAATGGAAAATTTCCAGAAACAAACAGTTCAAGAGTTGTAAACTGCATGTTGTTCTGAGGAGCTTGAGGCAATCTGGTGCTGTGACACCATCTGTCATTTCGTCCAGAGTATCCATGTCATGCAGTTGCCCTCCCATTCATAATGCAGCAGCTGTTATCAGATGAACTGTTGTCATATCACAGTGCTTGTTCTCAGTTAATCCTTATTTTACTTAACGGACCCAAAGGAGAGGGAGAAACTCGTGATGCAGGTAAGCTAAAGAGAAGCCATAAAGTGCTTGTGTGAAGAGAAAATTTAAGGTTTATTATGTGTGCATATATAGAAAAATACATTTATAGATACATATATATGACCAATATACTCTATGATTTCCAGCATCCACTGGAGACTTTTCTGGCAGGTTCCCCAGTAACGAATTGCTCGAGCAGTGAGTACCTTGCCCTGCCACAGCCAGCTCAGGTCTCCCTTATGGGACCCAGACCTGCTCAGCAGATCCATCCACGTGTCTCTCGATTGACAGGACTCGTTAAGGGCTGTGGGACAAGGCAGCTGGCGGGCCCCATGGAGTGGGAGGAGTGGAGTGAAGGAAAGGGGCCCTGGGGCAGGAGGCAGGAACTTGGTGCTTATAGCTTGCTTCAGCTGATTTTCAGCCCTTTAAACCTCTGTTCTATTGGCTTAACTTGGGTACCAGGTTGGCCCTTGGTCTTGGCCGAGGTAGTCTTTCCAACCTTGAGGTCTGTATCCCGAGAAGTCAGGGAGCACCCTGAAGCAAGTCTACCAAGGCCTCACCAGCTGAGCATACTAGTCAGGAGAGACCATTTCCATGCAGTTCTGTCCCTAGTGCTGAGCCCACATCCCATGCCCTCTCTGCTGAGCCAGCAGCCACTCCCTACATCCTCCCCAATGTCTCCACTGCTACCCATCATGAAAGCCAGAAACCAGCTCCATCCTTGCTTCATTGTTCCCACACTCTGGCCCTGGCACCTCTTGTGTCCCCCCAGGTCTTGCCTCTCCTGACACTGCAGCAGCCACGTTGGCATGCCTCTTCATGGTCCCCACCCCTGCCAAGAACTGGCTCTTTCTATAATGGCCCTGCCCTTATCACTGGATGCAAGACTGATGTCTTGTCTGGAATGCACCCAGCAAGGACCCAGCCCCTTTGGTCCTTTGTGCCCACTTGACTTGGCCAGAGCTTGAAAAGTTTGGGACATCAGCAAAGGGAAAGAACAGTTGGTTCTCTTCATCCTGGCTCTGTTTCTACCAGTTCCACTGACTGCAGATGGAAAATAATTAGAGGAAAACATTACATCTGTATCGAACATATGCAGACTTTTATTATTCCCTAAACAAACAGTATAACAGCTATGCACACAGCACTGTGGTATATGGTACAAGTCATCTAGAGTTGTTGGGAAGGCTACGGGAGATGTGTTAGGTTCTGTACAAACACTACATCACTTTATGGGCAAGATTTGAGCATCCATGGAGGTGGTTTTCACTGGGGTCCTAAAAACAGTCCTCCAGGAGACACCAAGGGCGTGCACCTACATCTTGTCACTCAAGAGTCCAGGGTTGGGGTGAGTCCCTGGATGCCTGACTTCTTTGGTTTCCTGTATGCAAATCAAGGTTCATGGATATAGCACATGGTTGCTATTTTCTGAAGTCTTACCTCACCGGAGACCCCATCTTCCTAGTATAGATCCTGTCTGGTATGGTGCTCCCCAGCCTCTCTCTCTGCTCTGCCCTCAGGAGAGCTTTTTTAAGATCCCAAAGCGAGGCAGAGGCTCCTAGACCCCTTCCCTTTCAGCTGTGGCCCCTGTAATACAAACCACCTTGGGACCAGGGAGTGCTAGTAGCCATCTGCTTCTTGGAATGGGCAAAGAACAAAACAAAGCAAGAACCAAAACACAAATCAATATTTCAATGAATTATCCTGCTGTGGCAGTGAAATCACCTTGTCTGCCAAGAGGGGCTGAGAACTAGGCTGAATTATAGGAAGCCAGCGTCTGGGAGGAAGGAGGGGGTCAGCCAGTGTCACTTCAGGCCTGCAAGGTGGTGGAGGAGGTCTGTCTGCTGGAGGGGCTGTCTCTGTTCCAGGGTTCTCAAGCTGGTTTTCTGAGGGGGGTATATTTTTGTCCTGTTCACTAAAGCCATTTTCCTCTAAGCCAACATTTACTATTGGTTTAGGACGTGCTCAAGAATTGAACCCAGCTCTTTCACTGTGCTAGGCTGGCACTCTCCCCACTGAGCTTTGTGAAGTCTGTATTTAACAATAGACCCACCTGAGACGTCCAGTCTGACAAACCTGTACACGTTCTCCACTGCCAACCACGTGCGGGTGCTCGTTGGACATGGCCCTTTTAGATACTTGGTGTTCAGTCTCTTCTCTAAACTGTCCCAGAATGAAGGCAGGTTTTGACCTACTTGTTCTGCCTTCCTGACAACCTGACCTCTGCCTTGGGGCTTGGCCCCTATCTGATGGTGCCCCTCTTGTTCTCCGGTCCTAATATCGGTCTGTGTCTTCCTGGCTGGATTCTTAAGTCTTCTTAAAAGGCTTGGCTAGAGCGCTCCTCTCACTGGCGTGGGACATGCCTGTCAGCTGCTGGGGGCCAACCACCATCTTTCATCTGCCTGCCAGTGTCCTTGCCTAGAGTCTTTCATGGTAACCAAAAGTAGAGCCTGTACATGGCCAATTCAAACACAAATTTGCCAATATTTTTTGTTTTGTTTTGTTGTTGTTTTGAGATAGGGCCTATGGACCTAGACAGCCTGGAACACACTATGTAGACCAGGCTGGCTTCATTCTCACAGAGATCTGCCTGCCTCTACCTCCTGAGTTCTGGGGTTAAAGGCGTGCACCACCATGCCTGGCTCTTTTCCAGTGTTTTTATTTAAGGTTGATTGAATCCGTAGATGTAGAACCCTTGAATACCAAGGGCCAACTAGGTGGAACTATTTCTATAAGAGAAGAGAAGGGCTAGAAAATGGATCAGTGGTTAAGAGCGCATATTGCTCTTGCAGAATCCAAGTTTGGTCTCCAGCACCCATGTTGAAACTCACAACCACCTATAACTCCAGTTCTAGGGGATACAACACCCTCTTCTGGTCACCATGGGTACTGCATACACTTGCAAAAACCCATGCACATACACATAATTACAAATAAAAAGAAATCTTTATTTAAAAAACAGAAGAGACAGATACCTTCACACAGAGCTACTAAGAATGTACACATCTTCTCTATGGACAAATGCATTCTAAAAGAAAGAACACCAGGCCTCTTCAAGGGCCTCTTGGTTCTCTGGAAGGGAATTAACCTCAGTGGTGAGGCTAGGAGCAGGAACTGGAAGCCTGATGTGAGGATCTGGAGAGGAAAAGGCAGCATGCCTCTCCCAGGAGCCTTGCTCTGAGATTCTGGGGTGCATGTTTTATTGGGGGGAGTCAACTGAGGCAGTTTGAGTTGAATATAAATTTGGAGTTGAAGTTTCCTGTATCCAGGTCTCAATCTCTCCACTTCTCGGTTTCCCATCTCACTGGGAGGTCGTGAAGTTACTAAACAGGACCACACACCAACACCATGGTGCAGGATGGGGGTGTAGGACTGTGAGGTCTTGGCTATCAGGTGTGGGTCATGATGCAAACGGAAGGGGATGGTTCCTGTGCTTCCGACCATGGCCCCTAAGAAAGGATTCCCTGTCTGCGTGGTGGTTCACTCTCCTGGTTTGGCTGCGCTCGTTGCATTTCTTTCCTTCTTTTTGTGTTGTTTTGGAAATACAGTGGAGAAGCAGGAACTTCTCTCTCCCTTTCTCTGGGTTCATGTTCCATATTAAAATGCCTATTGCACTTGCCTCTACTTTTCTAGAACTATGAGGTTTGGGGGATGAGGTTCCTACAGCACTTGCTTTCTGTCCAGAGCTTGCACAGAATAGGTGCCTTTAGAAAGCGGGGAAAGCAAACTATGTGAGGCCTCAGCTGAAGACTGCACAGTGGAAACTCATGCCAGAGAGGGTGACGGGTGTGGGGACGGAGGCCTCCTCTTCATTCAGAACTACAAAGCTGATGGGAGTGGCAGCAGGAGGCTGAGTGTCCCTGCCTGGACCAGATCCCCAGTGCTGGGCACAGTTAATAGTACTACCTGCTCAGCCTTCAAATAATCTGCCAGACATCAGCTCCTCCCTTCTGTCTCTCTACCTACTGCAGTCCATGAGCCTCATTGAGATTGGGAACCCCTCGCAGAGTCTGGAGAATGTCTGCCGCTGGGCCTACCTCCAGCAGAAGCCAGATACAGGCCATGATGAGTACCATGATCATGCCATCTTCCTCACGAGACAGGACTTTGGGCCTTCAGGCATGCAAGGTAAGCCTCCTGCCATGCAGGATGAGCCTCTACAGATGCAAGGGGACCCTCTTGTCATGGAGAGGCAGGAGGAGAAACTGGGGGTGAACCACTGGCCCTATAAGGGTCCCAACAGCTGCAGCCCAAGCCAGGGAAGAGGGGCAGAGCCAGGGGAACTGTGGCCACCTTAGATGTGTGAGGGTTTGGGTCTGTAATAGTGACCTCCTAGCTTTGGAAAACCACCAGGGCCTGTGCTATGACTGCCCTCACCCCGCCAAAAACAAAAAACAAAAAATCCGAATGCAGTCCTGAGGACCTGGGGAGGATCAGGGATGACCAGAACAAGACAGAGCCTAGAAGCCAAAAGACGAGACAGTATCTGGATGTTGGGTTTCAAGGTTAAATTTTCCCCCTGGTTTCTGAAAAACAAATTTGAATCAGTTGCCAACTGATTCTTTGCATAAGGACTCAAACTATATAAAACCAACAGACATAAATGAAACTCACATGGTATAGGGAGAAAATGGACTCCTGCACGTTGTCCTCTGACTTCCACATACACACCATGTCATGTGCACATATACACACACAAATAAATGTGATATATATATATATGATATTAAAAATTTGAACTAAGCAACTTGACTTAACGGGCATATATGAAACACTACAATAAACCACTTGTGAATACACACGCCATACTAAAGCACATGAAAATATACCAAGACAGACTGCTGGATCACAGAGCACTCTCAACAAAATATACAAGGTCAAAATCACACAGACCACCCCGGATGTTAAGCAGTACACATTCAAGCAGCCTGTGGGCAAAGAAGAGACAACAGTTAACATAATGTACATTTAAAGTGAATGGCAGTGACAGTACGGCCATCAAGTCCTGCGGTAGGGCCAGCGAGAAGGCTCAGCAAGTCAAGTCACTTGCCACCAAGCCTGGCAACCTCAGTTGGATCCCTGGGACCCACATGGTGGAAGGAGAAAAGTGACTCCAGAAAGTTGTCCTCTGACTTCCACCCACACTTGTGTGTGTGTATGTGTGTGTGTGTGTGTCCCCACATACATACAAATAGATGTAATTTTAAAAGCCTTGTGGATATAACTAACATAATGACTACATTGGCATTTATAGCCTTCTGTACATTATTAGGAAGAAGGCTGAAAATCAATCATACATGTGTGTGCCTCAAGTAATTTGGCAAGGAACAACAAATTAAACCCATCAAAAACAGAAGGAAGCGTATGATAAAGGGCAGAGCCTGATGAGAAGCACAGAGTCAGTCCACAGGCTTGGGAGGAGAGGAGAGTATCCAGGGAGCGGCCCAGGTGTCAGACAAGGCCCAACACAGGTGACCTGTGCCAGGGAATGGACGGCAGTCACAGTGTGGACTGTGACAGGCAGTGTGGCCTCAGAGCTCCGTGGCAATGAACTGAGGGCCTGTTGCCAGGGCAGGGACAGTGGACTGGGCTGGATTGCCCTGGGAATGGGTCCTGTGTGGGATTTGGAGTTCTGGGGCAGGATTCTGGGCCTAGAAGCTACAGCCACCTTCCATCTCCTTCCAGGTTATGCTCCTGTCACTGGGATGTGCCACCCCGTCCGCAGCTGCACTCTGAATCACGAGGACGGCTTCTCTTCAGCATTTGTGGTGGCCCATGAGACTGGCCATGTGTAAGTGGCCTGCTCATCCTTGTGTGGGGAAGCTCAGGGTTTGGAGAGGACACCCCAAGATCCTCTGCCCCAGCTGCTCACATTCCCCTGTGCCTGAGAGGAACACCACTTAGACATGCTACCCTGCTGTTCCAGCACTGCACAGGGCATGCCTGAGGTTGGCTTTCTGCCAAGGAACAAATCAAATCAAAGGAAGGAAGCACCTGGGGTCAGAGCTAGTGGAGCTAAGGGCCTTGCTCAATTATCAACCCACGGGGCAGGGTGAATGTCTCACCTCACTTTGTAGATGCATCTCCAAGTCTCTAAGGAGGGCTATCCCAGGGTTAAACAGCCAAGAATATGCATGGGTGTGCATATCCCATGCACCAGCTGAGGGCCAGATAAGTATTAATGGGGTGTAGAGAGCTTGAGGGGGGACATCAAAGGGGAAGGATGCCTAGGACGTTCCAAGTTGCAGATGGCTCTCTACTGTGTGTTCATAGAATAGTGGCTCTTCTTGGGACAGAATGAGGGGACATCCATCAGGCCTAGACATGGAAGGCCCGGGTAGACCAGGTCAACAAGGCTCTAAGAGATCAGCTGGGGTTAGGAGGGTGGTTAAAACGCGCCCCCCGGTGTCTGGGTACAGGGAGGTGGCAGGTCAGCACAGCCAGGTGAGGGTCCAGCCAGGCCACCTTGCTTCCCACACAGGCTGGGCATGGAGCACGATGGGCAGGGCAACCGATGTGGCGATGAGGTGCGGCTGGGCAGCATCATGGCACCACTGGTGCAGGCTGCCTTCCACCGCTTCCACTGGTCCCGGTGCAGCCAGCAGGAACTCAGCCGCTATCTGCAGTAAGTACCTCCCCAGGGTCCTCTGGCGGAACCTCTCAGTCCTTGGGTTCCGTTCTAAGAGGGTGCAGTACCCAATGTGCCTGTGCAGCCTAAGCCCTCAGACCAGGCCTCCAGCCTGACAGGCAAGGAATAGGAGAGGGCGCTTTTGAGAGAGATCCCCTGGTTGGGGGTTCCAACCTTGACCCACAAGTAGGTCCAGTAGCTGGCCTAGCCAGGACCTGAAATCTTATACCAAAGTAGGAGGGAAACGGAGGCATCACAACTAAAGATAAGGACATGCAGTCTAGCCATGCTAACTCCACAGCGGGTCTCAGCTGCCCCACTGAAGGTCACTCGTGGCACCCACATGTTCCCTCACAGCTCCTATGACTGCCTGCGTGATGACCCCTTTGCCCATGACTGGCCAGCGCTGCCCCAGCTCCCAGGCCTGCACTATTCCATGAACGAGCAGTGTCGCTTCGACTTTGGCCTGGGCTACATGATGTGCACTGCGGTGAGTGCAGAGACATAGAAAGTGCCCTCAGGGCCCTGCATGACTCTTTAAAGTACCAGCTCCTCTTGCCAGAGCCACAGGGATGCCCACTCAGTTCTCACACAGGACACTCTGCCTCTCCAGTGCCTATCCAAAGCTCTATCTGGTGGGCAGCCTCTGGGGATGGAGGCTACAGGGAAAGGGGGGTGGGGCAGCCAAGCCCAGGGATGCTGTCAGACCTTCACTGTGCAGCATAGGCCTCAGGACTCCGGAATCACATGGCACTCACCACACCCACCAGCCACACAGGCATGCTGCAGGCCAGTTTAGATTATAGGACAAGGGTGGTGAACAGGCAGGAAATGACACTGGATGGTCCCTTGCAGCAGGAGGCAGCCTGATAAACTGGGGGTATTCTCTTCCAGTTCCGGACCTTCGACCCGTGCAAACAGCTATGGTGCAGCCACCCTGACAACCCCTACTTTTGCAAGACTAAGAAGGGCCCCCCACTGGACGGGACTATGTGTGCTCCTGGCAAGGTGAGTCAGGACCAAGGGCTCTTCCAGGATGACACGACACTAACCATACTTGAGGTATGCAATAACTACGGACAGACCTTGCAATGTCTGAAGGGGTGACCAGGGGCCTTCTCAGGAGACCCCCCCCATATCTTCCCCTCTTCCACTCATTTTTTTCAACATCTCACATAGCCTCAAACTTGCTATGTGGCTGAGGATGACCTTGAATTTCTGTCTCTACCTCCCAAGTGCTGGATTACAAGGCATGTGCTATGATGCCCAGTGTATGAGGTGTTACCCACTGGATCCAGGTCTTCCTGAATGCTAGTCAATCACTCTACTATCAGGGCCACAGCCACAGCCCTCCTTCCGTACTGGATTGGCTGGAGCTTCCCACACCAGAGCAGACATGCCATCTCAAAGCCCCTCACTTTGTCTCAAGTCCCTTCCCTGAACATTATGGGTGACTGGGTCACCTCACCATGAGACCAGCAAGAGGTCTCGTGGCTCCCAGACACAGCGTGGCTTTTAACCTTCCCATCCCCAAGGCCTCTTGCTTGCCTCTTGTCAGGTAAACTTGTCCTGCAAGATCACTGCATGCCACCCACCCTCCCAACTAGTCTGCAGAAGGAACAGCTCTCCTCTGTTCAGCAAAGACTCCAGACCTGATTCTCATTGGTTCAGGTGAAATCACGCTTAGCCGATCACTTGTTAGGGGCCTGATGTATGCAGATGGTAAGCCTGGATTCCAACCCCTCGGGGCTCAGACCCACTGCCATTAGGGAGTGCTATGGAGTAGGGAGTAATGATTCAGGCCATGAGTGCCACAACCTAACTACCTCCCCAAAGCGCCATTTCCTCATACAATCACATCCGGGATTAGGGTTTTGGCACATGAATTTGTACAAAAACATTCTGTCCACAGTGTTCCACTCTGCCTGTCAGCCCCACCTCCACCACCTGCTGACAGGACCACACCAGCCAGCATTTCTGTGGGTTCACCTCCTTTCCACCATGGTCAAGCAAAGGAAGTTTTATGGAGACAGCTGAGGTAATCGTGACCCAGAAAGGAGATGGCCAGGATCACTGGGCTAGTTGATCATGACTGCTGGCCATGTGTCTGTGGACCCAGCCTAATGGAGATAGAGCCCTTGGCTGCATGCATGAGAAAGGAGTTATGGGCTGACAGGCCCAAAGGCAGGCCTGGGAGTATCCCTACGGGTGGCGAAGGGTGAGTGGCACCTGTAGGAAGGAACAGGAGCTGCAGCTCCCAAACAGAGGAGGATACCACACAGGAAGAGCTTGCTGGGAGATAAGGACCATGGGGGAGTCAGGGAAGCAACTCAGCTTGCAAAGAAGAATGAGGCTCCTGAGAGACAGCATCTGAGGCAGGGATCTGTTCTCAGGAATCTCCTGGGGCATGCTGGTGAGATGAGGGAGAGTGATCAGGGATCGACCAACTGTTCAGCTCCCCCCACATGGAACCCTGGAGTTGAGTCCATCCTTTACAGATATCCCAGTTGAAGCAATGTTTGTATCCCATCGTTGGCTCTGACTGTCCCCAGGAAAGGAGCATGAGTGAGCTAAGGACCTTTCCTGGACAGGGAGCCTGCTGGGAGTGAGCCATGAGCAAACAACATGCCTCACAACTCAAAAGGATAAGCCTCTTGAATCTGAAGAGGAGCCTGGGTGGTACCCTACAGAGTCCACTGCAGTAGGTGCGTGTTAAGAGGAGGTGCAGCCTTGGGCTCCCTGAGAATGGGTAGGGACAAAGGCAGGGAGAAACAAGGTTTGTTTGGAGAGCAGCCAATGCTCCAGTGCTGCTGTGGAGATGGAGGTGAAGCTGGGGAGAGTAGAGGTTGGCTGTGCGGGCTTTTGATGCTGATGAAAGAGCAGAGTCTCATCTTGAGCAGCAGGGAGGCAGCCAAAGGTTCTGAGATGGGAGCAGAGGGGGCTTCACTATGAGGCTTATGTTGAGTTTGAGGACCCCCAGCTTGCATGAATTTGGGGACCCCTCACTTACATAGATTCCTTCCAAGGTCCTGGGAGGAATATGGCTAGATGTTCCCAAGTCAGATGCAGAAGTAAGGTATCTTACCATCTTCAGTGAAAGGCCTCTGCTCACTCTTCCTTCACATAGGTAACTTCTTCCCCTTCATAACCTATGGCATTCCAGTGATCATGAACAGTTAATAGTTTAGGCAGCAGAGAAATTGGATTTGGGGGTCTCTTTATTTACATGAGCCTCAGTCTCTTACCTGCATCTGTCCAGGTGTAGCCTTCGGAAATACTCAGACTGTTGCTGTGCCCACATACCAGGGCCTTTGCAGACTACATGCTATGTGAAACCCATTTTCCTCAATTTTTGGGGGGGGGAGAAATAAAATTTTGTGACTTTTATTCATTACTTTTCTCACTGTTACACAATCTGACAAAAGCAACTTGAGGAGGAAGTTGTCTTGGCTAACAGTTCAAGTAGATTGTCCATCATAGAGGGGAGGCACAGCAGTTGGCTTCATGGGGCAGGAATGTACAGCTCACCTCTTCACATCCTGATGGAACAGGAAGCACTATAGAGGCAATGTGACCAGCGACCTCACGCTTCTGCCACCCTGCTTTCCCACCATGATGATCGCCTCTGAAAATGGAAGACAAGTAATCCCTTCTTCCCTTAAAAAAAGGCTCTAATGCCGGGCGTGGTAGCGCACGCCTTTAATTACAGCACTGGGGAGGCAGAGGCAGGTGGATCTCTGTGAGTTCAAGGCCAGCCTGGTCTACACAGTGAGTTCCAGGACAGCTGGGGCTACAGGGAGACCCTGTCTCAAAAAGTCCCAAAAAAATAAAAATAAAAATAAAGAATCATGGTTTGATCTGGATATTTTCCTGATGATGAAAACAAATAACCCAAACCCTCTCAGCCTGCTGTAGCCCTGGCCCTGCCACTGTAAACGTTCAAAGACCAGAAGAGAAACCTGGGTGGAAACAAAATGCAAAAATATTGAGGGGCTGGAGAGATGGCTCAGGGGTTAAGAGCACTAGCTGCTCTTGCAGAGGACCCAGGTTCAGTTCCCAGCACCCACATGGTGGCTAGCAACCATCTGTAACTCCACTTTCAAGGGATGTGACACCCTCTTCTGGCCTCTGCAGGCATTGCATGCCTGGGTACACTTAAATACATGCAGGGGAAAACACTCATACATATAAAAAATAAAAACAAACAAATAATTAAGAGTAAGTAATCAGAAGTAATTCTAACTTCAAGAAGTTTATTGTAATAATAACAAAAAGATCTCAACTCAGACCAAAAGGATTCGCTCATCAGAAGCAAGAGTGACAGATGAGAGAAGCAGCAGGGAGAACCTCAGAGCAGTTGACAATCCAATTAATGAAGAGCTGTGAATAAAATAACAGTGAGAAAACACTTAGACATCTCTCCAGTTTGACATGAAGTATTGATATCATGTCATCAAAGACAATATGACACCCAGACTCTTGTCCCTCCAATAAAAACCTCTGAAGGCAACAGCTACTGACTGTTGATAATTCAAAGAATGTTTTAAAGCCCTGACCAGGAAAGTTTGGCAGGCTCTCAAATCACACTGAGCAAGGAGCCTGGACAGCAGTTTCTATAGATTTGATTGTCCTCAATGTTCAGATGATATCATGTGCTTGTTTTCTGTTGCTGTGTTAAAATATCCTGACCAAAAGCAATTAGGGGCAAAAGGGTTTATTCTGACTCCAAGGGTCAGAGGAGTAGAGTCCATCATGGCAGGGAAGGTGTGGCAGCAGGAACAGGAAGTTGGCTGCTCACATTGCATCCACCCTCAAGAAACAGAGAACAAGAAGTAGGGCCAGGCTATAGAAGCTCAAAGCCCTCCCATAATGACGTACTTCCTCCAGCAAGGCTCCCCCTCCTAGAGGTTCCATAGTCTTCCCAAACAGAACCACTCTCTGGGATCCAAGTGTTCAAACATCTACAACACATCATCAATGGCTTCTTCAGATGATCAAGGAAACAACAGAAATTGCTTCCCTCGGCATGCTGAGGCATGGGTCGGCCATTATTCCTAAGAGCTGACCCTGTTTGGATTTTGCCCCAAACAACTGTACTAATCTGTATTCACATTTAAATTCACCCATTTAAAGTGTGCAGTTGGGTGATCTTCAGGATCACAGTACTATACGGCCGCCAGAGAAACCAAACTTTAGAACATTTCTTTTGCTCCAAAAACAAGCCTGGTACACATGAGAAGTTGCTCTAGCCCATCCCCCTCTTGCCCAGCCCCAACAGCCTTTGATCTGCTTTCTGTTTTTGTAGGTTTAACTTGTCTGTATATTGATGTAACTGGAATTACCTAGCATGGAGCCTTTCATGAGCTACTTTGTTTATATAGCATAATGTTCTCAAGGTTGATTTCTGTCACAGCAGGTGACCATATATTTACTAATGAAAGGATGTTGGGTTTGGCACAATTAATTATTTTTCTTTCTCCTTTCTTTTCTTTTCACATTTATCTCCTTCCTTTTTCCTTTCCCTTCCCTCCCCCTCCCTCCCTCCCTTCCTTCCTCCCATGGTGCTCAGGATTAACCCCAGGGCCTCATGGTTATCCAGCAGAGATACTCCCACCCAGCTCCAAAGTGAAGTTTTGACCCTGTTGGGGCCTTTTCACATTCAAAGTACAACATAGGCCTATTCAGGCTTTCTACATCTTTCAGAGTCAAGTTTTGTAGTTTCTATCTTTCTAGAAGTTTGTCTGTTTCAAGCACTCTGTTGTTTTTCCCCATTGGGGGATTTGAATTACTCTTTGATATTACTTGCCATCAGATTGAAAATTTTTGTTTAGTATTTCTTATATGGTAGGTCTGCTAGTAATTATTTCTTTCAACTTTATAAAAATAGAAATGTCTTTGCTTCAACTTTTTGTTTTGTTTTGTTTTGTTTTGTGGGGTTTTGCTTGTTTGTTTTGAGACAGGGTCTCCCAGTAGCCCCAGCTGGCCTGAAACTCACTATGTAGACCAGGTTAGCCTTGATCTCACAGATATCCACCTGCGTCTGCCTCTTGAGTGCTGGAATTAAATGTGTGTGCCACCATGGCTAGCCTTGTTCTTGTTTATTGACACAAGATGTCACCATCCAGACTGCCCTTAAACTCACTGTCCTGCCTCATCCTCCTGATTATTGGGATTAAATGTACCCCCCATGCCTACCTTCACTATTTAAACATTGTGTGTGTGTATGTGTGTGTGTATGTGTACTCACGTGTGTAGGTATACGTATGCCATGGTAAGTGTGTAGAGGTCAGAGGACAACTTATAGAAGTTGGTCAAATTCAGGTTGTCAGGCTTGGTGGCACCTTTACCTGCTAAACCATCTTGCTGGCCCCATTTTCATTTTTAAGAGATAGATTTGCTGAATGTAAGATTTTTAAGTGGTACTACCTCCTCTGTCTCTAGTATTTCTGATTGAAAGTCAGTTGCTGATCTTAGAATTTTCTGGTATACAGCAAGTCATTTTTCTCTTGCTGTGGTATTTGCTCATTGTCTATTCTATTTTATTTACCATTATTGTGTATGTACGTGTGTGCGTGCATGGTGTGTGTTTGGCGTGTGTGCCACAGCACACATGTGAAGATCAGAGGACAACTCTGTGGAATCTCTTCTCTCCTACCTTATGTGGGTTCCAAGAATCGAACTCAGGGCCCAGGCTTGTACCACAAGTGCCTTTCTCACTGAGCCATCTCACCCTCCCCATGGTTCCGTCCTCCAGGAGTTCGTGTCTGTCACCGAGCCTTCAGGGGAATCTATCACTTAAGTGTTTGCATTGCTTACCTGCAGAATTTACACTCTGTTCTTTTTATAACTTCTGTCTTATCAATATTCTCTTATTGGGTGATACATCATTCTCGAACCCTCATTGAATTCTTCAGATGAGGTCTTTTTTTTTCTTCAAACAAATTTATAAAGGCTGCTTTGAAATCTTTGTCTGCTGAGGCCAACATTTGGGAGTTTCTGTCACCTTGCTAATCAAGCAACATGGCTAATTCAGCATTCATGTCTCGGAATTTTTTGTGTAGATTTAGATTAATACATTAATGATAGATTCTGATGCCCCTGGGCCTAATTATTGTTGTTTGCTGTTTGTTTGTTTTAGTGACTTGGTTGGACCATATTAGTGATGTTTATTTCCTCTGCAGTGAGTGCCTACTTCCAATCGCTCCACAGATGTCACAACCTTGAGCATGTGTGCAGCCACTCTGACCATCATTCCCTGCCGCACAGTGTCTTCCCTGGTTCTCTTCTGCTGTGTTTCTGTCTGGCCTCTCCAGCAAGTTTGTAACTATTCTGCCTTCTTATGAGGCCATCACAAACTGAGAGCTCACTGCTCTGTTTCTGTTTCTGTGGTGTGGGGATTCAACGTGGGTCTCGTGCATGGTAGGCAAGGGCTCGGCCCCTGAGCTATCCCTTAGTTCCTGATGTACTGTTTTTAATAAAAGCATGGGATAGAACTTGCTCTATGGTTTGACCCAGCTAAAGTCGGGTCTCTGGGGCCTGAGTGCTGCCAGCCTTTGTGGTTAATCCCACCTCAAGAGGGCTCTGCACTGTCCTTGTCCTTTGTTCCCCTTGACAAACTCGTAGTTGGTTTATTAATTCACTTGTTCCACCCGTTTCATAGAACTATTGGCCTTTTCTGTTTATCTTTTTTCTTTTTTTCCATATTGTCAAATGAACCTGCTGGGGCCTTGTGTACGCTAGTCAAGGGTTCTGTTACCAGCTCCGTCCCCACGCCTCTTTCCCCTTCGTTTTCTGTTCCCTTTTTTTCTTTTTCCTTTTTTTTTTTTTTTTTTTCATTTTCTCAGTTTCAGTTTTATCGTAGAGTCTCACCAAGTTGCCCAGATCTACCTTGAATTCTCTGTCTAGTCCAGGCAGGTCCTGTACTTGTGACCCTCCTGCCTCAGCCTCACAAGGTTCTGGGATTATGGACTGCACCACCAGCCTCAATTTTCTGGCCTCCTTTTAAATGCTCACCTACAAGATCTGCGTTGTTTGCTTTTCAATCTCTATTTTCAAATTTTATTTATTTATTTATTTACTATTTATTTATTTGTTTGTTTGTTTATTTGAGACAGGGTCTTTATGTAACTCTCGCAGTCCTGGAACTCACTACGTAGACCAGGCTGGCCTTGAGTTCACAGAGATCTCCTGCTTCTGCCTTGTGAGTGCTGGCAGAATAGGGCCACCATGCCTGGCTCTATTTATTTATTTATTTATTTATT